GTTGGGAGGGGACACAGCTGGGACAGCTGACCCCAACTGACCAAAGGGATATTCCATACCATATGACGTCGTGCTCAGCATATAAAGCTGGGGGAAGAAGGAGAAAGGGAGGGACGTTCAGAGTGATGGCGTTTGTCTTCCCAAGCGTGATGGAGCCCTGCTTTCCTGGAGATGGCTGAACACCTGCCTGCCGATAGGAAGTAGTGAATGAATCCCTTGTTTTGTTTTGCTTTGCTTGCGTGTGCGGCTTTTGCTTTACCTATTAAACTGCCTGTAACTCAACGCACAAGTTTTCTCACTTTCACCCTTTCAATTCTCTCCCCCATTCCACTGGCGGGGAGCAAGTAAGTGGCTGTGTGGGCCTTAGTTGCCGGCTGGAATCAAACCACGACACATACTTTTCTCATAAATGTACAATGCATGCTTAACAACCTACAATACAGAAAGTGCAGACAATCCCTGACACAAATGCAAAAAGAAGTTTACAGAAGAGCCTTTTTACTAAAAGGAATATGTTACAAAGTACCAGTCTCACTGTGCTCAGAAATACAGTTTAATGAAGGGCTAAGGAAACAAAGATTTAAGAAAGGAAGATGCATTCTGCATGCCTGAGAAATTCATTCTGTACAATTAAAACAAAATTAGAATGGCATTTTGAAACTTGATGTAGGTCTGATATTTATTCATCTTCTTCTGATGCACTGTTAATTTTAGGCATTGTGTGAACTAATAATCTGGTGCAATTTTTCCTCATCAACCATCTGGCAAGATAGCAGCTATAGTTGAATACTGTATGACCATTATTAGAAATATTTTCTTGTGTTGATGAAGTTAATATAACTATTGAACTACTGCTGGTAAATAAATTAAGAAATATCACACACATATGTTAATGATAAAAAATTCTTTTAAGTATGATATTAGAGTGTTTTTTATTCATAAGCACATACTTTTTAAAATCCAGAAAACAATGATTGGAAAATCCTAGTAGTTGTGTTAAATAAGAATTTTGCCCACAATTTAAATCCATTGCTCAGTAAGGGTCTAAAAGAAGATATAATTATGAAGTCTGAATTATTTTGAACCCATTGCTAATATAACAAGGGATTGCAATTATAATCAGTTAAAAATGGAATGAATGTAACTTCTTCCACTGCAGAGTAAAATTGTCCTGTATAACTAATTCAACCTCTGCCTAGCAGATTGCTTTATTTACTAGTGCCAATATCAAGGCACAGTTATAAATTATGAGTCATGCCATTTCCTTTTTGGAATAGAACTATTAATATTACCTGAAACACAACAACGAACAAGTTAAACAACTCAAAGCACACCACCATTCCTAAGCCTCAAGACCTCCATCCATGGTGTCCTGGTTGCTTTCCACGGCTATTAACACAATCTTCCCACTGCTATTACACAGCTTCAAATTAAAGCTGTAGGAAGCAGACTTTGCTATACTTGACACTTAAAATTAATGGACCTATGTCATCATCCTCTGTCACATTCTAAGTTTATCCACATCTGTCCTCCAATATACTCTGCACTGAATGAAATTCAGGTTAGCAATGTACAATGACCACTACAGAAACAAGCTATGAAAATCGTTCTGTACACAATGCAGAATCATCATACCACAGGTTTTATTAAAAAAAAAAAATTACATTCCTCTCAATTTATGAATGTACCTTCTCCATCTTTGTTTATGCTTGTGGGTACTGTTAGAGGTTGGAGCGGAATTATGATGTCATCCGCATTGGTCCCTTCTTCTGTATGCTTCTCAGAGACATGAGACAATAGTTCTGATTGATTTGGTGAAAATAAGTTACAAAGCTTGCACATGAAGATGGAGTTGATCCCTGAAAAAGAAGTTTAAAAAGAGGAGTTAATATTCCCTGATTTTAGATTTTATTTATATTACCACTAGTTATTGAGATTTCGGCTCAGTTAACACAGTAGCTATCAGTTAACTTAATACACTTAACAGACAGTAATGAGCTGAAGTGAAGAATGTTACACCGTTAATTTAAGACATTCATAATAAATCCCAAAATTAATTAATTGAAGAAGTGGTTAAAATTCTACCCAGATCCTCACAGGGCAAAAAATTTCTTCTGGCTCAAATCTTAGAAATAACAAGACCCAAAAGGAAGCAGGATAGATTAAGACCTTTTTTTCCCTTCCAGCATCAGACAACGTTACAATTTCATATTTTTCAAACATCTGATAAAATTATATAAGACATTAAGTCATTGTCCAGGTTTGATGTGTATCACATCGATAAAATGCAAAACATTTTATCCTTTACAAAGTAGCTCTGAAATACAGAGAAGCTGGGCCTCAAATACTAACTTACGTTCACAGACCTCGCTGTTCTTTACTACATGTACTTAACCTTTCTACTTACCTCACCTAAGCAAGTCTAATTCTCTAAATAGCTGTGTAAGTGCTGGTAAAAAAAGGAGGTTAGAAAGAATTAAATACCATAAAAAGATAAAAGGAAACTTTTCCTTCACTATAGTAACGTTTGTTAGAAAATAAATATATTTAATAATAAATGCATGCTTTGATGTGTCATTTTTGCCTTAGCATGTTACCACGAGCATACACTGCGAGTTAAAAATGTTACATGTTTGGTTTCAGGGGTCATTATCCTTAGATGTGGCTCTGCCACTAA